CTCCAACTCAAAAACATAAATAAATAAATGAATAAATTAGCTGGGCATGGTGGCACATGCCTGTAATTCCAGCTACTTGGAAAGCTGAGGTGGAAGGATCACCTGAGCCCAGCAGGTCAAGGCTGCAGTGGACGTGAGGGTGCCACTGCACTCCAGCCTAGGCGACAGAGTGAGACTCCAACTCAAAAAAACCCAAAAACTATTTCACACCTCATATGCACACATTTTAAATTTGGGCAATAGTACATATTGAAGAGATTGTGGAGCAAGGGAATTATCATCCACTAATGGTGGGATTGTAAACTAATAGAATCGTTTTGGAAAACAGTTTGGTATTACCTAGTGTCTTAGTCTGATTGTGCTGCTGTAAAAAATACCTGAGACTGGGTAATTTATAAACAATAGAAACTTATTTGTCACAGTTCTGGAGGCTGAAAAGTCCAAGATCAGGGTTCTGGCAAGCGCAGTGTCTGGTGAGAGCTGTTCTCTTCTTCCAAGATGGCACCTAGCTGTTACATCCTTTAGAGGGGACTAATGCTGTGTCCTCATGTGGCATGACAGTGGAAGAGCAAAAGAGGTGAATTCTTTCTGAAGCCTCTTTTATAAGGGCATTAATTCATTCATAAGGGCAGAACTCTCCTGACTTAATCACTTCCCCAAAGGCCCTACCTCTTTTTTTTTTTTTTTTTGAGTTAGAGTCTCACTCCTTTGCCCAGGCTGGAATGCAGTGGCATGCATGCTCACAGCCATCCCAGTGTCAACCTTCTGGGCTCCAGCGATCCTTCTGCCTCAGCCTTCCGCATAGCTGGAGCTACAGATGCACGCCACCACGCCCGGATATTTTTTAATTTGTTTTTGTTTTTTGAGTTGAAGTCTTACTCTGTCACCACTCACTTCGACCTCCCAAAGTACTGGGATTACAGACTGAGCCACCTGAGCACGGCCAGATATTTTTTATTTTATTGTAGAGACGAGGTCTTGCCAGGTTGCTCGGGCTGGTCGCGAACCCACAGGCTCAGGCAGTCCATTTGCCTTGGCCTTCCAAAGTGCTGGGATTACAGGCTGAGCCACCGAGCCCGGCCAACCCTACCTCTTAATACCACCACAATGAAGATTAAGTTTCAACATGAATTTTGAAGGGTGCACACATTCACACCATAGTACCTAGCATACATCCAATAATCCAATCATTCTATTTCCAGATACACCTTCGAGAAATTCATGGGTGTGTGTATGATGGCAATATTGTAGTAAATATCCATCGATAGTAGTATTAATTAAGTATATATGGTAAAAATTAATGAACAGCTATAAACTTTTTTTCTTTTTTTTTGAGTTGGAGTCTCACTCCAACTCTGGAGTGAGCCTCCAGACTGGAGTGCTGTGGCACACTCCCGGCCACCGCAGCCTCGACCTGCTGGGCTCCGGCGATCCTTCCACCTCAGCCTTCCTAGTAGCCAGAACTACAGGCGCGTGCTACCACGCCTGGCTAATTTTTTGATTTATTGTAGAGATGAGGTCTCGCCAAGTTGCCCAGGCGGGTCTCAAACCCGCAGGCTCATGCAATCCACTCACCTCAGCCTCCCAAAGTGCTGGGATTACAGGCGGAGCCACCGAGCCCGGCTGAACAGCTATAAACTTTAACATGGATGAATCTCTGAAACTTCATGTTGACTAAAAAAAGTATGTCACAAAGGATTTATATATGATTTCATTTATATTCAGTTGGAAAACATTCAACAAAATTCTCTTTTTTTTTTAGTAGAGTCTCACTGTTGCCCCAGACTAAAGTGCAGTGGAACACTCACGGCCACTGCAGCCTTGACCTGCTGGGATCGGGCGATCCTTTCACCTCAGCATTCCAAGTAGTTGGAACTACAGACACACGCTACCACGCCCAGCTAATTTTTTTGATTTATTGTAGAGATGAGGTCTACAAGTTGCCCGGGCTGGTCTTGAACCCATGGGCTCAGGCCATCCTCTCACCTCAGCCTCCCAAAGTGCTGGGATTATAGGCGTGAACCACAGCGCCCAGCCTTAAACAATATTAAGGATGCACATAGTCTAAATAAAAACATGAGAACAGTTAACACAAAATTCAAAGTAGTGGTTACCTTGGGGAAAGAAGGAGGCTCATGTCATGGTGGAGGCACATTAAGGAACACCAATATTCAATTCCTTAAGCCGGGTGGGGGGTATGTAGGTGCTAATTTTATTATCTTTGAAAGCACATAAAGTTAACATGTAAAACAAAAAACTAGTAAGGAGAAACGCAAGAATGCTGTAGGAAATGAAACATACATCTAAACTTAAAAAAAAGGTTTTTTTAGAGACAGGCTCTCACTGTCCCCCAGGATGGAGTGCAGTAGGGCAATCATAGCTCACTCCAGCCTTGAACTCGTGGGGCTCAAGTGATCCTCCTGCCTCAGCCTTCTGAGTAACTGGGGCTTCAGGCACACACCACCATGCTGTGCTATGCAAAATTTTTTTCTTTTACAGAGATAAGGGTCACATTACATTGTCTGGATTGGTCTTGAACTCCTGGCCTCAAGTAATTCTTCCACTTGGGCCTCCCAAAGTGCTAGTGTGTCACCGTACTCAGTCTTATCTAAATTTTAAATGTAACATTACCAACTTAATAGTTTCTGTGCTTTTAATATACGAGAGAACTGTTAGAAACATTTCTTGTGGAGAGAAAAATAACTGACATCCTACAAATTCAAGTTTTACTGAGTACTTTTCCTCTTAAATTATTGTATTTATTAAACAGTATATAAATAATCCCATTTTTTTTTTTTTTGAGGTGGAGTCTCACTCTATCACCCAGGCTGGAGTGCAGTGGCACACTCACGGCCACCCCAGCGTCAACATACTGGGCTCCGGCGATCCTTCTGCCTCAGCCGGAACTACAGGTTGCTACCATACCCAGCTAATTTTTGATTTTTATTATAGAGATGAGGGCTTGCCATGTTGCCTGGGATGGTCTCAAACCCATGGGCTCAGGCAATCTACTCACCTCAGTCTCCCAAAGTGCTGGGATTACAGGCTAAGCCACTGAACCCGGCCAATAATTCTATTCTTATATAAAATAATTCCTAACTTCCTATCTATCTCCTCAGAATATGTGCTGAAAGAGATGTCTGGGATTATAGCCACCAACTGCTCACACCAGGTTGAGATTTATTTCTAGGGTGAGATTTATTTCCTCCCACAGTGATGAGATCTTTTATAATCTATTATTTTAATAAAAATAAGTCAATTCTTTAAAAAACAATTTAAGATCTGAAAATAGCAAAATGTTATCCTTCATCTATTCTTTGGAATATTTCAAAATAAAAAATAACTTATAGGCTGGGAGTGGTGACTTACACCTATAATCCCAGCACTTTGGGAGGCTGAGGTGAGAGGATTGCCTGAGCTCACAGGTTCAAGACCAGCCTGGGCAACTTGGCAAGAGCTCATCTCTACAAGTAAAAAAAAAAAAAAAAAATTAACTGGGCGTGGTAGTGCATGCCTATAGTTCCAGCTACTTGAAAGGATTGCCTGAGCCCAGCAGGCTGAAGCTGCTGTGGTAGTGAGGGTACCACTGCACTCTAGCCTGGGCGACAAAGTGAGACTCCAATTAAAAAAATAACTTAAAAAATATCTAAGGTACATCAGAAATTGCCTGGGAAGGATGTATAACACTAATATCCACATTAAGGTGCTAATGAAACTTAGAAATGGCCAACTAAAAATGGCAAATTATACCATTATAGTACATATTCATAATCTTTTTGTTGTTGGTTATAAGTCCACATGAAAATACACATTTTTGTAGGATGGGTGTGGTAGCTCAAGCCCAACACTTTGGGAGGCCAAGGCGAGAGAACTGCCTGAGCTCAGGGGATCAGGACCAGCCTGGACCTTGTGTCTCTCTACAATAAATAAAAAAATAGCCGGGCGTGGTAGCGCACGCCTATAGTTCCCACTACTTGGAAGGCTGAGGCGGAAGGATTGCTGGAGCCCAGCAGGTTGAGGCTGTGGTGCCGGGAGCAGCCACTGTACTCCAGTCTGGGTGACAGAGTGAGACTCAAAAAAAAAAATAGAGCCAGGCTCGGTGGCTCAGCCTGTAATCCTGCGCCTTTGGGAGGCTGAGGTGAGTGGATTGCCTGAGCCCGCAGGTTCGAGACCCGCCTGGGCAGTGAGACCTCATCTCTACAATAAATAAAAAAATTAGCTGGGCCTGGTAACGCATGCCCATAATTCCGGCTACTTGGAAAGCTGAGGTGGAAAGATCGCGGGAGCCCAGCAGGTCGAGGCTGGGACGAGGCCGGGAGTGGCCACTGCGCTCCAGTCTGGGCGACAGAGTGAGACTCCAACTCAAAAAATAAAATAAAATAAAGTAAAATAAATAAAAATAAGCTAGGCGTGGCAGCATGCGCCTGTAGTTTCAACTACTTGAAAGGCTGAGGTGGAAGGATCACCTGAACCCAGCAGGTTGAAACTGCAGTGGCCATGAGCATACCACTGCACTCCAGCCTGGGCAACAGAGTGACTCCAACTCAAAAAAAAAAAGAAAATACACATCTTTGTTCACTTGTTAGAAGGGACTCGAGAAATATGTAGGAAAAAATACCAAAATAAAGTATGCCTCCTAGTGGTGGGAAAATAAGGGTGATCATTTTTGTTTCTGTATTATCCTTCTGTACTTTCCCAAATTATTTACGATAATCAGTAAAATAGGTTTAAAAGCTGTTATGTTCAATACCACCTTCAGGCAGGCCAAGGGCTATGTCTGTCTTGACTATAACAAACCCAGTACAAAGCAGGGTCTGGCAGAGCAGGGACTCAGTATGTGTTCAATGACTGACGTCCGCTCCCATTTTCCTCCTCCCCGTCCCCTCAGCAGACATCAGCTAAAACACAAAATGACAACAGCAGCCCAGGCAGGGGGCAAGGGCCTGGGTATCTATCCCTGAGCCCCAATGAAACACTTGATGTACACAACATACTTTTGGTCAAAATTAGTAAACTTTATTTAAACTTCAAAAAAATAAAATAACAGACAAAAGGCAGCATGAGCTTTATTCTTCCCAAGGATCAGATGTAACGTCCCAGAGCAGGAAATACCCCTAGGATATTTAAACACCCTTTACCCCCAATCAAGCCACAGGCAAGGAAAGATCTTCAAGGATCTTCAACTTGGGGACAGGCATGGGGTGGATGGGACAGGAAGACCACCACGAGGTCAGTGGGTTCTGAGACAGCACAAGTGGTGAACAAGACAAGAAGCCCCAACAGAACCGGGATCCAGAACTTCAACAGGGAACTTTGCCACAAGGAGTTACGTACAAAGGAATTGGGCTGGGGGTTCCACCCATGAGGGAAGCTAGGACTGCCGAGTGCCAGCAAGCTGCCCAGGGCCCAAGCCTGCTGCCACTGCGCCCCACACTCCCTTAGTTCTCCTCATCGCTGTCATCCGGGCTGATGGCTGGGCTGGTGAGGCTGTAGGTGGGGCTGGTGGGTGAGTAGCCAGGGGAAGTTGGGGAATAGGTAGAGCCTTTGGGAGAGGTAGGCGAGTAGGTGGGGCTGGTGGGCGAGTACTTGGGGGAAGTGGGTGAGTAAGTAGGGCTAGTAGGCGAGTACTTGGGAGAGGTTGGGGTGTAGACTGGAGAGGTTGGAGAGTAAGTAGGGGATGTTGGGGAGTACTTGGGGGTAGTAGGTGAATAGGTGGGGCTGGTAGGGGAGTACTTTGGAGAGGTGGGTGAGTATTTGGGGCTGGTAGGCGAGTACTTGGGAGAGGTCGGGGTGTACTCCGGGGAGCTGGGACTGTAGGAAGGACTGGTTGGTGTATACTTGGGTGAGGTAGGGCTGTAGCTGGGAGAGCTGGGGCTGTAGCTGGGAGAGCTTGGGGTATAGGTTGGAGACTGTGGGGTGTACCGTGGACTGGAAGGAGAATAGCTTGGTGAGGTCGGAGAGTAGCTGGGTGATGTTGGAGAGTAGCTCGGAGAGGTTGGGCTGTAGTTAGGGCTGGTCGGCGTGTAGTTGGGACTGGTGGGTGAGTAGCTAGGCGATGTTGGGCTATAGCTGGGTGACGTCGGGGTGTAATTGGGACTGGTTGGAGAATAGTTAGGGCTGGTGGGTGAGTAACTTGGGGAGGTGGGTGAATAGCTGGGAGACGTAGGCGAATAGCTCGGAGAGGTTGGCGAGTAGCTGGGGGAGGTTGGCGAGTAGCTGGGAGACGTGGGCGAGTAGCTAGGAGAGGTGGGCGAGTAGCTGGGAGAGGTGGGCGAGTAGCTGGGAGAGGTGGGCGAGTAGCTGGGAGAGGTGGGCGAGTAGCTCGGGGAGGTGGGTGAGTAGCTGGGAGAAGTGGGCGAGTAGCTGGGAGACGTTGGGGAGTAGCTAGGAGACGTCGGGGAGTAGCTGGGTGACGTCGGGGAGTAGCTGGGTGACGTGGGGCTATAGTTGGGACTGGTTGGAGAGTAGGATGGAGAGGTGGGAGAGTAAGAGGGTGAAGTGGGGGAGTACGAGGGACTCTGGGGTGTGTAGCCTCCAGGGGATCGGGGCTCATAGGCAGGTGACGTCGGTGAGTAGCTGGGAGACATGGCACCACCTGTGGGGAAAAAAGCCAACAAAGGAGATAAGTGATGAAAAGACTCACCCAGAAAAAGGATCGAAAATGAAATGAACCTGACCTGAAAGACCACAATGACTCACCTGGTGAGGGGATGTACGGACTGGAGGGGCCTGGGGAGCCAGGGGAGCCAGGTGTGGGAGACCAGGCAGGGGAGTAACCCGGGCTGAAGCCGCTGGCATCTGAGGCAGCACTAGGAGAGAAGCCAGCTGCCCCCGGGGTCATTCCACTCCCTACAGAAGGAAGTAGGTTAAAAACAGAGCTAGAGTTCTACGCCCTCCCACAAACTCCCCCATCCTGCTGCCACTGGATTTCCAACAATAGTTACTGTTCCTGATGCCAGCCCGCCCACTTCTGAACACCCAGAGGGCCTTCTTTCTGTGCCAGGTTACTCACCAACACTGGGGGACCAGGCGCCGCCATAGGCTGGGGTTGCACCCTGGTTCCAAGGCGTCATGGCAGGAGAGATTCCTCCCATGGGACTGGGTGCTGAGCCAAAGAACATGCCAGTGGCTGCAAAGATGCACACAGGGACTCATGAGGAACAGGAACAGCAGCCAGCGACTAGCAACACCTTCCCACTCACCGCCTGCCTCCCTCCCTCAGAGACCCAGCCAGGTCCTCTGCAGCCAAGGCCCTCATACTCACGTCCAGCAGCCCCCAGGCCAGGGATGTTGGTGGGGATCTCCATGCCATACTTGCACTTCTCTGCATCGAGCAGGAGGTCAAAACAGCCCGTGCCAGCAGGAGCTAGCTGACCCAGCATGATATTTTCAGAGACCCCCTTCATGGGGTCGCTCTCACCATGTGCAGCAGCTTCCATAAGCACATCCACCTGAACAGTCAAGAGCGCAGGCCCCATTAGGCCCTCCGCACACAGCGCCCATCTGTTCCACCGTCACTGCAGTAGTGCTCTGATGGATGCCCTTTTCCCCACAGAACCCCCCTTCCCCCCTGCTCAGTTCTGCCATTACCGTTTCCTCAAAGGAACATTTCATGAGTGGTCCAGTGTCCTGGCGGTTGACTCCATGTCGAGTGATGGCCATCAAGTGGCCGCGACAGGTCATGGTATCACACAAGAGAGCCAAGTGGCGGTAATTGACATAGGAGCCATCAAAGGAGATGACATGGTATAGCTCCCGCTCCAGAGCCTTCCGCACAGCTTCAATGCCCAGCACCTGGCACAGGGTGAGGGGAGGGTCAGGACCAAGCAACTTGCTCTCCTCCTTGCTCCTACAGCCATTCAGACCCAGAGACAGAGCCGGAAGTCAGTGTATCCCACACCCAGAAATGAATTCAGGCAGAAAAAGTCTTAGCCTGAGAAGATCCTGTGACTGGAGAGTTAAGAATGAAGGGCCAGCCGGGCTCGGTAGCTCAGCCTGTAATCCCGCGCCTTTGGGAGGCTGAGGTGAGTGGATTGCCTGAGCCCGCGGGTTC